ATTAACCTAACTTGTGCCATAGAGCATAGGTTAGATAAATTTATAAAAAAAAATTATAAAATATCTTCATTTAAAATAAAATATGATCTAAATGAAATGTCCATGGATAAGGTTAAAATCTAAACAACTAAGTTTTTGAAGGGCAGAACCCTCAAATGGCCCTTTGAAAAATATGAGTAGGGATGGATTCACCCCTAAAAAAAAACATAGACATTTGACCCCTCAAAATTATCGATTGACCCAAATCACCCATTATTTAACTGTCACGTCCTCACCGTCACAATTTTCGTTTAACCCATACCAGCACATCACTTTTTTACACGTTGAAGGCTGATGTGTACCATCTCATCATTTTTTTTTTACACTATGTCACCCCTTTTTCATTTCAAGGGATGTTTGGAAGGTCAAAGAAGTTAAGATGGAGACAACATAGGAGGAGGAAGAAGAAGAAGAAGAAGTTAAGATGTTGGGGTTTTGATCGATTCCTCAAAGAAATCTTTAAATCAGATTTAGTTTAGATATGGGAAGAGAATCGGATAACAACTTGAGGATTACCACTTTGAAGGCATACATGTCAAATTTTTGCGTTGCGACGTTGCTGGCTTGGAATCCGGCAACATGTAGCCCATCACGCCTGCAAATTGCATATTCCCACTATCCGATCTCATCAATTTTTTGCTTCTTTCATCAACTTCGACAATCTTGCCGATGTCGACCTTCTTGCTCTTCCCAATTTTGTTCTCCTCGATTTCTCTGCATAACTGTGAGGTGCCAAAATGGCGAATCTTTGCATTGAAGGAAGGTTTCATCACTATGATGCTACTGCTCTTGATGTGATCTTCCTATGAAACCTCCTCTAGAAGACGGGTCAGGCCAAGCCCTTGGTGGACACAAGAGATCTCACATGCTTCCATCAAACCCAACAACTGCAATTGCAACTTCAACCCAGCCAAAAAAGTCTTCGATCGATCTAAATTTACCAGCTCTGATGGAAGATGACGAGTTCAGCGTGGTTTTTGACGGATAAATGAAACATTCCCACCAAGCATTTATGAAATTCACATGGATCTAGAGTTGGGTTTTTGATTTTTCAATTGAATTTTACTGTAGTTGCTAATAGTTTCATCATTTTGTAGATTGAATTAAACTGTATTTCATTGCAACTGACTTTAATAGTTCATTGCCTTGCTTGAAGAATTCTTATTTTTCCAGGAAACTATTTTCTAATCTCTATTTGGGAAGATGAAGATTGTAATTGGTTTCATGTGTACACCATGTTAGAGGAAAAAGCATTTTCTGGGTGGTTTATTTTTCCCTACTTGTGGACGAAGGAGCACTGAAGTCTGCAAGTACCAAAGTGGTTCAATTCTATTTATGTGTCCTTTCTTCTTTGACAAATTGGGATTAGGGTTTCTGAAGGAAGTTGATGAATTGCGATTAGGTTGGGATCCATGAAATGAAAAAGGAGTGACACGGTGTAAAAAAAATAATAATAATGAGACGTTACACATCAGCATCCAATGTGTAAAAAAATGATACACTGACATAGGCTCAACGGAGATCGTGACGGTGATGACATCATCTGTTAAATAATGATCGATTTGGGTCAATCGATACTTTTGGAAGGCAAATATCCCTACTTTTTTTTGGAGGATGGATCCATCCTTACCAATATTTTTTAAGGGACGATTTGAGAGTTCTGTCTTTTTTGAAATATTAGAAAAGAAAAAACTATTTAGGATTAATTTTTTATATTATATTTTTATATAATTTTACATATTAATTAAATAATTAAATTTATTTATTTATTTTAAATTTATAATATTAAGTATATCTACTCATTTAATAATATATAAAAAATAATATTACCCCCCCGCCCTACTTTCAAAAAAAAAAGAAAATGATTAAAATTGCGTCGGCATACCAACTCAGGATTTCTTTCCTGGTAAGTAAATGATTGACCGGTAGTCGACTTAAGATGCTTCGGGATTGCGATTTAAGATGCCTTTCTGAGTGTGGTTAAAAGTTTTTTCATGTAATCATAGCGTGTGTCTATATATATATATAATAATATCTATTAATCTTATTTTATAAAAATTAAAAAAAAATTATCTTAAAATTATATCATTTTAACAAATTTTTATTAAAAAAAATTAAATTACCATATTTTTAAAGTATGCATTAAGGTGATTTTTTTTTATTTTTTAAAGATAAAACGGACAAGCACCAACCGTGTATATATATATATGTATATTTAATAATTTTTTTAAACT